GGTGTCTTTAGATGGCATCATCATGAACAGAGATGCTTTTAAAAATGAGGCATGTGCTACCTAATGATTACAATAGTTACAATTCACTTTGCAGTTTCCATGCTGAGGTTGCATATAATTTTATCAGGCGATAAGCTCTATTGCATAGATAAAGCTTGAGGGTATACTTGGCTAAGGAGATCATAAATGAAGGTTCCTTTATGATGAGCAAGGAACTATAGATTCTTGGTGGTTAGAAATTCCATACTAAAATAGTATACACAAAGTCGGGTTATATAATGGACCACTTGCATAATCAAATCCAGCAAAGCTGAATGTTTTAATCAACATGCAGGAAACAATAAATGAGGGCAGGATGTAAAAAAAAATGGAGGACTTCAATAACCCACAAGTAAATTGTTGGAAGGACGCTGCCTAGTATGGAAGACAGCTTATGGAATCTGCAACCCAATTCCCTTTGTCCATGCACCCAAATATCCAGTAAGCCTCAGGACCTCCGAGCTTCATTTTCCTCCTAAAGTGGGGATGGTAATAACAGGTTTATTTGGCAGATGACAGAAAATTCACTGATGTTAAAATTCAGCACTGTAACCCAAATCCCTGGCACATATTAGGGGTCACACATGTGATAAGTTCTCTCTCCTCTCCTTTTATCTAAATAATGTATAGAGAGATGGTTCATAACAATACTTTTAAGTAGTTTTGGAACTCATAAGGAAATTAAGAATTCTTAATTTGGTCTGATTTCTTTGAAAATCTGTATTTTCTTTTGTTTTATTCAATTTTTCTTCATTATGCCAGTTTCCATCAAATTACATAATTGTTGTCCCATTTGATGTTTACTGTCAATCTTTATTTTTTCTTTGTTAGGCTATTTTTTTGAAAATGGGTTTGTAATTTAGACGCTCTGGTTCTTTTCATTGTGTTTCGGTGTTTTGGCTTTCCTTGTAACTGAATATTCCTGGCAACTTCTCGCTTCTGAAGAACTGAGGAGAGCAGGCAGAGTCCATCATCTCTGGTGTGCGTCTACCCTAGGAGGGGACTGTTACTTCATGGTGAGATGACACATGGTCGAGAGCCACCCTAGGTCTTTGTCTTTCTACTCCTGCATGTCTCTGTGTTGGGAGTGGGGTGGGGGACTTCTATGTGCTTAAATTCCGGCCCCCACTTTTTTCCCCACTCATCTCTGCGTTAGCAAAATGTGCAGCCTCTCTTCTCAGCTCCTTGTTTGCGTTGCCTGCCGCTGTCAGGGAGGCTCCCCAGTACCCCCACTCCAACCCAAGAAAGGAGCTATTCCTTTCGCTGAACACCAGTCTCCTCTCATAGTGAGACTGGGTAGTGGCATAGAGGAGCTGGGGGAAGTTTGACAGTGTGAATTAGCAGGGCTTCTGAGGGCTCTGAGCCACGTGTTGGCCAGCAACCCAGGGGCCTCTTTCTCTGGCCCTCTTCTCCACCCACACTTCCTGTCCGGGTTTAGCTTTGGCTCTTAAGCACAGCTGGCACATCCTCTGGGGGAAAAGGGACCTCTCCTTGGGGGCTGTGGGGTGTGTGTTTTTTTTTAGGCTTTCTCTGTGGTGAGGAGGGTGCAATAGAAAGTCGTCTGGTCACCCCAGGGGAGCAGCCTGTCCCTGGACCAGTTCTGCTGGATTACCTTGGGCTCTAGTCAGGAGACAGAAGGCATACCAGGTATTTGAATAGTGAGGTTTTCATATAAAGACCCAGTTAATGAAGTATAAAGTTGTTCTTGACTAGGTAATCGAAAGGGCAAAAAGAGAACTTGAAGGTAGTACAGAGGTAGCACGTGCAGGAAGCAGCTCCCACCCCTGGGGCTGAGGGAATAAAGGAAGAATCTGGAAATATCCAAACTAGAAACTTAGAGGAGGGGCCCCATACTGCTGAAACACAGACCTCTGAGGGTGGGCACCACTCAGCTGGTGCTGAGGTCTCGAGCTCAGAGGAGGGGCCTGTGGGGCTGCACTCCTGGGAGGTGGTATCTGTCTGGCAGAGCTGAAAAGGTACAGCTGGCAAAGCAGAAATGTGCTTTGCGGAACCCCAGCACCAGCGTCACAGAACAGAGCATAGAAGGGCAGGTTTGGAGCTGAGAGAATAAATTAGTAACTAGACAACAATAAAACCCGGCACAAGTCCTTTTTTTGATTGAGCCTGCCCTAGGGCAACGCTTCTCAACTCTAATGCAAGTATGAATCACCTGGGACCTCATTAAAGCACAGTTGGTCCAGGAAAGGGCCTAAGATTCTGAATCTTTGACAAACTCCCAGGTGATGCATATGCCTTGAGCAGCAAGAGCGAGGAGGCCTTGAAGAACCCACCTGTTAGGTGTGGCCGGCAGTCTTCTGCAGGAGTCCTTCCCTGGATTGACTCAGCCACTGAATTCCTTCTGCAGGGATAATGAGGAGCTGGCTTTATGCTTTCTTATTACAAGTGAGCTCTCACATCTGGAGAGAGAAGGTGCGAAGGTGAGTGAGCAGTTAAAAAGAAATATTTCCGAATATATATGAACACAGTGAAGGAAATAAAGGAAAAAGGCTGGCAAGCAGGACAGAGGCACATCTCCAAGATTTGTTAAAAAATGCCCTCTGGGAATTGAAACCTAAAAATGCAACATTAAACTGTAGGGACTAAACTCTCCAGTGACCTAATAAGTTAGTACAAGCTAGAAAAAACAACAAGAAAAAAAGAAATATTCAGATTCAAATATCTTGAGTGGAAGGTCTACTTGCTGCCCAGGTCTATTTGCTTTTCAGGATGATGAGCATTGGAAAACCCTTTTCCTGGCATCTGAGGTTACAGTGTTTCAATACCTTTCCCCATTCATATACTGAGAATGTAATTTTATGTATGATCACTGTGACCATCTGAAATAGGGGCAAAATGGCTTTTGGGGGGACTGATTTTACAAACGAGAGAACTGGAGCACAGAGATGGTAAGTGACTTTCTAGTGTCACAAGGCAGCCAAATTGTGATCCAGGCCCCTGGCCTAGAGAGATGTGTCCAAAGACCCTGGAAATCTGGCTGCTAGAGGCTGAGGGCTATACTTTGGTCAGCAAAGTTTTTCTGTATAGGGCCATATAGTAAATATTTCAGGTTTTGCAGGCCATAGGTTCTCAGTTGCAACTATTCAGCTTGGCTCTTGTACCACAAAAAAGAGCCATAGACAGTATGTAAACAAATACATTTGCTTGTGTTCCAACAAAACTTTGTAACAGGCAGAGGGCTACATTTGGTCAACAGGCCATAGTTTGTCAACTCCTGCTGTATGCCAATGGCAAAAGTTGAAAACGTGATATACATGTACATAATTTAATTCTTTTAGGAATTGAGAAGGGTAAAAACTATGAGATAGAAAGGAAGATGGAAGGTGAGAATGGGAGAGGAGGAGTAGGAGATAAGATGGATAAGGTAGGAGAAGGGGGACAATAGATAAAAAGAAAAAGAAAAAAAGAAGGAATAGGCATTTAGACAACTTTGATTTGGGGGGTACTTACCAACAAGATAAAAGAAACGTGAGTTTGGAAACTTTCCCTGGGCTGTGTGAAAGATGGTACAATTTGATCATAGGTTTTCTATGAATTCACTTTTCTCAAATGATTTTATTTTCAAATGACAAACTTAGAGCAGGCACAGTGAAGTTTGTGATATTAAATCACTATCAAGTTATGCCTCTGTAAAAATAATTGTCCAACTGACTCTGTCAGCTGAGTAACAATTTAAAAATACATGATTTATGACCAGGAATGATGAAATCTAGAAAATATTTCTCAGGAAAGAAATATGTTTTAGCTGCTCGACAGCAAAACAAGTCCTTTGTTATGAATGCACTGATGCCTATGACGCCTTCACTATCTCAGAGATTAAAGGGTTTCTTGGGGATGTCGAGTACTGGTATTGCTAAAGCTTTTGGAAAGTTTTGCAGACAGTTCTTATTGTTTTGCAAACATTTCCCCCTTCTACATACTTTGAAAAATGATTTCAGATCTCTTTCGAGAACCTTTCTTCTTCATAGTTTCCTTATTGGCTTTATTGCTTTCCTGTGCCAGCAAGAAAACCATCTGAGCCAGCAGCAGAAAAACTTAAAAACATTTGAAGGAGCAATCATTGCTGCCACTTTAGGGAATATGTTTTTCTAAAATCACAGGAACCTGGGGGCTGGGGAATTGTATAACTACAGACAGTGAGCTGGATCAAGTAGGACTACTTTAGAATTTTGGAGTATACCTTGTGTCTAGAGATCCTTGTGGCTGTTGAATGCCTCCATTTGTGGGGCAATGCAGTGTAGTGGTTATGGGCACTGGCTTTGGACACAGACCACTTTGCCTAGACTCATATCTCTGCTACTGATTCGGTGGTCAATGTTAGACCAGTTACTCATTCTATCTGTGTCTCACCTTCTTCATTTGTGAAATGGACATGATAATATCAATATCTATCTTAAAGAATCTTTATAAAGATGGAAAGAATTAAAATACATGTGACGAGCACTTAGAAGGTCTGGCATATAGAAAACATTCAATAAATGTTACTATTACAATTAACGAGAGGTAGACAAGAATTACAACAAATCAGGTTTTCTTTTGTGTGTGTGTGATTTGTAAATTATTTCTGTTATTGTTTAAGAAATCTTTTTTAACTTTTATTTTAAAAGTTCAGGGGTACATGTGCAGGATGTGCAGGTTTGTTACACAGGTGAACATGTGTCATGGAGGTTGTACAGGTTATTTCATCACCCAGGTAGTAAGCCTAGTATCCATTAGTTATTTTCCTGATCCTCTCCCTCCTCCCACTCTCCACCTTCGATGGGCTCCCGTGTGTGTTGTTCCCCTCTATTTGTCCATGTGTTCTCATCAACAAGTCAGCTTTTCTTTTGAAATTTTGTTTCCTATGGAATGACGTATATGCATGTGTGTTTTCACCCAGGTTGTTAAATATTGGCAGCAGATAACCTTATAATGTATACATGTAATGCAAAATTGTTGTGACAATTTGTGTGCAGAGGTGATATTGCAGCTAATGAGATTTTAATCAAAGCACAATTATTGCTGATTGAAAGTTGTCATCAGCTTAGGCAACATAGAAAGACCCTGTCTCTACAACATAAAATTTTTAAAAATTAGCCGGGTATAGTGGCTCAGGTTTGTAGCCTTAGCTACTTGGGAGGCCAAGGCAGGAAGATCGCTTGAGCCCAGGAGTTCGAGGCTGCAGTGAGCTATGAGTGCACCACTGCACTCCAGCCTGGGTGACAGAGCAATATCCCATCTCTAAAAATTAAAAAGGAAGAAAGAAAGTTGTCATGACTGTTAAACATTGTTTAGGCGAGATTAATCATATTTGAATGCTAAACTTTAGCTCAGATATTTTCTCTTAGCTCTAGATCCCATTTGGATTAATGGTGCCTCAAATTCAACATATCCCAAACTCATCTCAAACTTCGTCCAATTCCTACATAACCTAATTCAGTAAATGTATCAGTATTTATCCAGTTTCACAAACCAGAAACTTGGAGTCACCTTTGACCCTTCACTATCTCTCACCAGATCCAATCCACCAGCTTGCCAATTTTAACTCCTGCTACGGTCTGAATGTTTGCGTCCTCCCCCAGATTCATATGTTGAAACCTAATCTCTGATATGATAGCATTAAAAGGTAGGGCCTTGGAGAGGTAATGAGGTCATGAGGGTGGAGTCCTTATGAAAGGGGTTAGTGTCCCTATAAAAGAGGACTGAAAGAGCCTCCTTCACCCCTTCCATCATGTGAGGATGCAGCAAGAAAGCACCATGTATGAGAAAGTGGGCCATCAACAGACACCGAATTTCCAGAGCCTTGGACTCCTCAGCCTCCAGAATTGTAAGAAATCAATGTTTGTTGTTTATAAACTACCCGGTCTATGGTAGCTTGTCATAGCAGCCTGAATGAACTAAGACACCTCCTAAATATCTCTCAAATGAGGCATATCTTTCCATTACCGTTATTCATAGCCATCACAATCCAAGCCCTCCTGTCTCACATAAACTACTAAGTTAGCCTCATTGGTCTATGATCACTCATTCTTTTCCACATTAAATCCATTCTCCCGAGTCTGGGTAACATAGTGAGAGCCCAACTCTACAAAAAATAATATTAAAAAATAGCTGGTTGTGGTGGCCTTTGCCTATAGTCCCAACTACTTGGGAGGCTGAGGCAGGAGGATTGCTGGAGCCCAGGAGTTGAAGATTACAGTGAGCTATGATTGTGCCACTGCATTCCAGCCTGGGTGACAAAGTGAAAATAATAATGGTAATAATGACGATGATGATAATAATAATAATAATCCCTTGCCGTTAAAACCCAGATTCAGCTTTATTCTTTTAACTGGCAGCCTGCTGGATTTACTAGTGCTTCCCATTTATCCCCTCTGTAAAATATACAATCCATGCCCACTGCATACTGCCTGCTCATTGCTAGTAGATGACTCTTCAGGATGCTCACATATTTCTGTTCCTACCTGTGAAGCTGTGTATTTACTAGAAGTCCCTAACCTATTTTTGTCACTTTTTGAAATAATTATATAATTTAATGAACTGTTACATAAGTTGATGAAAGATGAATACGTTCATATTTCAGAGAGGGAGGTTTTTTTCTATAAAAATTAGGTTGAATGCTTTGGGAAGACTCAGTAAAGGCAGTTTGCTATAAAAATTGCTGTTCAGTTAGCTATGAGTGATAAAGCTGGGAAAGATCTCAGAAAATAAAACGCTAGGAGGATTCTGCACTCATAATGCTTGCAAATAGATATTTTAGTTCTTTTAAGAAATTGAAATGGAAAATTGTAGAAAACATCTTATAGATAAGAAACAGGCCAAGGAAAGACATTCATCTAACCCACATTTAAAACACAAAGCTGGCTGGGTGCGGTGGCTCATGCCTGTAATCCTAGCACTTTGGGAGGCTGAAGTGGGCAGACTACCAGAGCTCAGGAGTTTCAGACCAGCTTGGGCAATATGAGGAAACCCCGTCTCTACTAAAAATACAAAAAATTAGCTGGGTGATGGTGCATGCCTGTCATCCCAGCTACTCAGGAGGCTGAGGCACGAGAATCACTTGAACCTGGGAAGCGGAGGTTGTAGTGAGCTGAGATGGTGCCACTGCACTCCAGCCTGGGTGACAGACTGAGACCATGTCTCAAAAAACAAAAAACAAAGACAAAACACAAAGTCTTGGATCTGCATGGAAGGACTGGTGAGTGAATGTACATTTTGAATAAGATGGTAAAGGTCTTCATGTATCATTTTTAATGATTCTTATTTTATGGAGCTTTTCAAACCAACTGCTTAATTATCTGTATGGATTACATATCATCATATCATACCCTGAACTTAATATATTTGAATTCCTGCTTCTCTGTTTATCTTAGGTTATATTCCAAAACCCTTAAAATGGCTGACGAGGTCTGGTTTAGGCAAGTTGGCCCAACCTCATCTTGAAACCTCAAGGTTATCTTGAAAGTTGCCTCCCTCACCTCCATTCTTCATTTAGTTCCTGGTACTAGCCCTGCAGTTTCCTTTCACAGGGACTTTCAACGTTGGAAGTTCCCTCTACCCAGAACACTCACCCCTTTTCTCTTCATCCCTCAGATCATTCCCTGATCTTCCTGAGTAGGTTAGATCTCTGTGGTGTTTGCTTTTGCCACATCACTTAACTCTATCATAGCTTTTAGCTCAATTGCAATTTTACGTTTATTTTGTGGTTATTTGTCTTGTATCTTTTTGTATACTTTCCTAGGGCTGCCATAATAAATTATCGTGAACTCGGTTTAAAACAACATAAATATATTCTCTCACCATTCTGGAGGCCAGAGGTCTGAATCAAGGTGTCAGCAGAGCCATGCTCCCTCTGAGGGCTCTAGGGAAATGTTCTTCCTTGCCTCTTCCAGCTTCTGGTGGTTCCTTGTAAACACTTCAAAGTAAGTGTCCTTTAAATATAGAGTCTTGAAGTCATGCATTTCTTGACAGCATTATTGCTGTTTATGCCTCTTATAGCTTTTAATATTAGTGAAGATTTCACCTAGAGACAAAGGATAAAAATTCTCAACAACCCCAAAGCATACTCACCTCCCAATTGTTTGAAGCTCAGGCTGCCCATTTAACCTAAATTTTTGCCTGGAGTCAAATGTGGTACAGCCAGTGTGGCTTCAGCATCAGATGTACACATCCTACAATTATAGAAAAGTATATTTATAGTATGAGCTACTGGGCAGAAGCTGTGCCTAGGTTTCCAGACACTATTTGGCACTCTGGAATGTAAGTAAACAATGAGAGAGGCAGTACAGATGATAATGGTTGTAGAGATGTCACTATTGACCCCCTTCATGAAACAGTTCCCTGTTAGTGGAGATTAAGGCTGACTAAAAGTCAGTCACTGGATCAAGGGGTTCTATCCTCTTCCTGATGAGAAACAATTATCAATTTCTATGAAGTCTTCTTTCAGCTGACGAATATGGGAGTGGGCTGTTAGCTTCCTTTTCATTCCCAAGAGCTACAGAGAGGAGGAACTTGGATGCTGACCAGGAAAGGCTGCCATGTGCATTATAGATCATTGCAATAGCAATTTACCATTTGTTAAGTATCTAGAAGGTCTCAAGCATTTTTCCTATATTATGGCAAATCCTCACAACAATATGGTATGGTAGAGATTCCTAGCCTCAATTTATAGACAAAGAAATCAAGGCTCAGAGAGGCTAAAAAAATTGGCCTTTAATCACAAAGCTAATAAATATCTCTTAGAATGAGAACCCAGACTGTCTGGCTCCAGAGCCCATATATTTTCTACTTTGCCAAGGTGCCTTCCAGAGTTTGCTCTCTAAAGAGAAGAGCTAGTCCTTTGGTGACTTATTGCTAAGAGGGTCTCCGATGGCACTTGGATTTCTTGCTTTTAAAACTGAGATATTTGCACCAACAGGTGTGTGACAGGCCAGGGTAAGCAAAACCACAGAATTAACTTGATGCATCTTTCATGTTAAATCATCTATGAGGTCTATTTTATATGAAAATTAACATTTTTAAGATGAAACAAAAGATTGAAAATATATTTCCTGCTTTTGGAAGCTGCTTTGGGCTAAACCATCAGATGCCAGGTGTGGGTAAAATAGAAATCACATTTGTCCTTCTCTACCTTGAGAAGGGCTTCTATAGGAAAGTTCGAGAAATAGTGCAATAATATGGGAAAACTTAGTTGTGTGAGTATATCAGTCAGCACTCGGTTAGGAAAACAGAATTAGTCTAGGTATTTCAGAGGGAATTTGATACAGGAAATTGTTTACAAAAGTGTTGGCAATGTGCAAGGAAGAAAAAAGGGAAGTTAGGTACTGCAGAGAGTGGCCACTGCAGGGAGCTGCCCCAGGGACTGGAGGAACAAAAAGGGAAGAGGTGATGTTTCCAGAGCTCAGGAGCATGTCAGTCACTGAAATCATCCACTGCTTCAGCTTTTGGAATCCTGTCACTCTCGAAAACACCAGCGGCCACTGGAGCCTGCAACTGCCCATCATGTCAAGATCTGCTAATATCACTAGCACCTAGTGGCTGGCAGCCACCAGCAATTGCTCATCACCACAACTGCTGGAAAAATAGAAGGCCATCTGCTGAGTCAGAGACACCACCAGAAGCAGGAGAAAAATGTCTCCTGCTTTCCTTCCACCTTCTTATCTCCCCTCATTCCCTCCCATTGGCAGAACCTAACCTGAGGCCAACTGGCAAGGGAGTCTGGGAAATGTAGTTTGCAGGTTTCCAGTCCCCTTTAATAGATAAGTAAAGAAGGATGGGAATGGTGCAGCCATGCAATTGACCCACGATAGCCTATTATGTATTTAGTAACATATTTTCATAAAGGTTTACTTTATATTTCCCCCACCCAGGAAGTTAAGAAATGTATCTCATTTGAGAGAAATATATACAAGTATTCTACGTTTTCCCAAATCTACTTGGTTTCTGAGTTCAGATAGTGAGAGTTTGTATAACAATTTCAGATAGTGAGGGATATCTAAAAAAAAAGAAGGTAAAGTTTGCATATGCCACTATTTTCTTTTTGGCAAATGATGTATACTACAACCTCCTTTTTTTTGCAGCTTTGCAATGCCTATATACATTGGAG